CCGAAAAATTGCTTAATATCGTCAATAGTTTCGGAGATATTCGAGTTGGTCTATTTTAATGGGACACCCTGTATACAATATAATACAATACAATACAATATAATACCATATAACACAATATAAAACAATATCATAGTACAAGCAGGAAGCTTACATGCAGTTATAAGTTATTGGATAGTAATTAAACACGAAAAGGTGTCAGAATTAGTACAAAAACCTCATTTTTCAACATTTTGTAACATAGCTTCCCCTTGGATTGGACTCATCAGTTAATACATGTATATTCAATACAGCCTAAAATATATAAATATACATTTTCTTGTGCTGCTTTTTACTGTGTATGTTCTTTCTGTATTTTATTTATATTATTGTAGTTATTGTAATGGAGGCTGTTTCCGTTTAGAAAATTTCAATGTTTGTTTTATGTGGTCTCGTAGTGACAAAGTATATTGTTTGTTTACGTAATTTAGTTATATAAAGATTTTAAGATTTACACAATCTAAGATTTAAAATACCATAAATAAAACTATGGTACAGTTTGGCAGGGTGGATTCTACACGCCCAACTAAAACGGAAATCAAGAATAACGAAATTGCAAAATTCGTTTCCAAATTATTAATTGTTAAAAATACGGGCGAAATACGCGTAAAGCTGCGTCTATACATCGAAACAGTGTTACATAACAAATTGTTATATAACCGTGCTATACAACATGTTTTTATACTTTGTTATAAAATTATACCTTTTGGACATGTCTGTAACGAGTCTGTGTAATATTTCGCATCTCATTAATAATAATGGCGTCATACTTGATGAAGAACATATAACTTGCTATATGACACGCTGTATGTTTTTCTAACAAATTTTATAACTTTGCTATATAACGTGTTATGTATATGTATAGTGTAGACGCAGCTTAAAATACGTGTGACACGACGGGTTATTCTACTTGAGAAGCGCGCTCTTCAATTGTTTCATGAGTTGGTTTGATTGATTTGATTTTATTTCATTCATAAACTTAACTAGATCAGCTGGGAATCGACTGCTCAAGTTCTCTTGTAAGCCCTTAATCCTGTTTTTCTTAATCACCCTATATGTATGGAAGGAATAGATGGACAAGAAACTGGCTTAATGGGAGAATATTTTCTGTCATGGTTCCATAAAATCGTGGAAGGGTTTCAGAAGAGTCAAATGGAATCGGAAATGCAACTCACGAACGCCTACCGTGTTCCATATTCTTTTTTCTCGGATGTCCTCCATATATGGGAAGCTTATAATTACGTACATGTGGCAATCCAATAAACGAAAGTGAGCAGTTTCAACTTGACAGAAAGTATTTCCATAATCTTGTTACATGTTTAAATAAGATAATATCTGCAATGAATTATTCTTAGGCTTCGGTGATGAATTGAACAATTACGATATTTATTTAATTTGTAATGTGTCTTTGTACACACTTTTATATAATGAAATTTTTGTATTATAATATTTAATTTAAGTTTTATTGCTTGGAAATTTTATAAACAATGTATTTACAAAACTTCTTTACGATTAATAATTTGATATATTACCTTGTGTTTGGAATTTCACACTTTTAGTAATGCCTTAATAATTATTCACAAAATCAGATTATGTTTTAGAATCGAGCGTTTTAATTAACTTTCAATGTCGAGGACTGGTGTTTTTTCTGCGTTCTATTTTTTTATAAAGACTTTTTTAACTTTATATACTATTTCGAAATTTCAGTAGGACTATTTCAAACTGAACTAAAATATCAATCGTTCTAAACTAAATATCAGTTAGTCAAACCTGCACAGCCGAATTTTGTCCAATACTTGTTTTAAACATTTGTAACCAGAATGGCTACAGATTTGATGCAGGATCTGGTGTAAACAATTTGTGCGCAGATTAGCGGCGCATTGACGGCAGAGCTTGCAACATAGTCTAGGTTATAAACTGACCTAAGTTAGTTAGCTTGGGTTGTGTTGCAGGATCTTCCGCCAATCTGCAGCCAGTTTGCTTCGCGATTCTGTCAAAAAGGTTCTGTTTGCAAAACCCAAGCCAAACGTGGTAACAGATGGTTACGGATTTGTAAACAGATTTCCTCACTATCTGTTGCCAACCTGCTGCCAATCTGCACGCAAATGGTTATCAGGGTGCTTTAAATTTTCTTATAATCTTCACTATATTTTCTAAATAATACTTGTACAGTCAGTTTCTCAGTGTATACGAGCCTGTTTCGTTTTGTCTTTGGAAAAGTTGAAAGACACAAGTTATTCAGCACCTTAATATTTATTAAGTTGTTGCAGAATAAATGTCGTTTTTAAGCTGTAGAGTTTTAAGGATTACATCAGGTGTACCAGTAGGTAATCCTGTGGCGACATACTTTACATTATCAGTATCTTCTCCATCTTCAGTTGAGTAACAATGATGTAAATCAAACAGTACAGATCCTTAACTTCTATAGCAATTAGTACTGATTTCGTCATAAAATAGTCGATTACTTACTGGTAAAACTAACAACTTATCCCAAAAACAAGATTTGCAATTGGTATACAATCAATCTGAATCAACATTTGTGCCAATGAGTTACAAAATTTGTATACTTACGTTGACCGATTTTAAAATGAGTGAAAAGAAACACGTTATATAAGCTTGCGTTAACAAAATTTTGAAGAAAATGAAAGAAACAAATTTTCAAAATTTTATCAACGCATATTTTTTCTATCTCTATTACTTTAAGAGTTACAGGCGAAAAAGTGGGAGTGCCTATTGGACTTTGAGGTTAGTTTTCACATCCTTAAAGAGCGATTGGGCACGAATCAAGCATACCGTTATAGTTGTCTTGAATCACTCTATAAACCCACGTAAAAACTTTTCAATTAATATTGACTAATTTTAAAATGATCAGTACCTATATGTATAAAGGCAAACTTCATTTATCTAACGACCTAAATATTGTGCTTTAAACATTTTAACGGCTTTGTATACAGTGTCGCATCTAAGACTGAATAAAAGTGTACGATTGCCACTGAAGAAATACATATGATCCTAAACAAATTTGGAAACAAATAATAAAAAAAAAAAACAATTTCCCATTTAACGATATTCTCTTGAAATCATCGAAACTGTGTGTTGAAACATTTCTCATATCATTAAAAATAAAGAAGATACATGTTTATGGAGACACCCTGTATAGTGTACTACCGCCGACGATTAACATAAAACCTGTGAAAATTATTTCTTCGTTCCGGTTTTAAAGTAAAATCTCGACGTTGAATAACAAAACTTTGCTTCATTTTCATTTTATGACCGTTTAGTGGGCACACCTTTGAACACGGAATTTACCTACACAATTATGCAGCGTTCCTTAAACGAGACTAACAACCAGCGAATTCTCCTCACGAGTGCGTTCAGTGTTTTACATTTTATCTGCGCAAAACGATGCTCTCGCAGATCTTCCTGGCCATTTAACTAACCGTAAAATCTCCCTAAACGGGCATGCTAACGACTAAATATGTGGGAACTTGAAAAATTTCTTGGAAATTACCTCTATGTTCATTACCTTATGAATTATTGAGAGTTATTCTGGTGCACTACAGGGTATTTCTAAAACATTGTCCGATACTTGCAACAGTTTCTATTCTCGAACCCTGTAACGCCGATTGTTAAGTTTTCGCAACGTTTTCGTTATAACGTGTACAATACACAAGGTAGAATATTCTTGAGTTAATTGAAGGATGTATATAACGTTTTTATAACATACGAAAAAAAAGTAAACCTGCCATTTCGAGATGTGTTTCAGAATTTATGTTCATAAATATGAAAACAAAGAATAAAAAAGTTTTTGTCTTACAATGAAAATTCAGGTGTTATAGGGCGTTTACCTCGAAACGTAATTTTTTCACTCTGGTGGAGTAAAAACAAAAAAATCATGTGATCAATCTTTCTCAAATCTTCACATATTAATCTGTATATCAGTGGCTATCTCCTGAACTAGAATTCTTGTTTACGTTGTAAATTTCATATTTTTTTAATGGCAAAAGTGTGAAAAAAATTTGGGCGATTCTGGACTTAAACTTTAAATACGTGCCATTTTGTTAATTTTCCGCTTACGTAGTTGTTTTTCGTTTCAGATATGTCACCCATACAGATTAAGAATATTTTTGAATGATTTGTTTCGGATGAATCTTATTCGTAATTACACTTCCGCAGTCGAGGTATCATCGTAACATGTATTGAAAAACGTAACATGTTCAGTACTAATCTTCACTGTTAATTCAAGTTGGCCCGGCATTGGTAGCACATCCGACAAGGGGGTGTATTTTTATCGAAAAATAAATTAATAACAAAACGGTTGGATTCCTAAGAAATATCGTCTTATGGGAATACCGTGTTATACAGGGATTGCCTGTATAAAGCTGCGTCTACACTATACAATAAATCATCTATGAGTGTTCGAAGGCTCCTCGGCACTGCTACACGGAGAGGTCCCCAGGTGCAATGCTGGCTTTTTAATAAGGTTTAGCACAGTGATAGCGTTTGAAATTCTGACGCCAATTGTATTTGTTTCAGCCGTATGTGGCCATTAGTTTATGAAATATTTAATGTTCAGTGCCGAGGAGCCGTCGAACACTCATCGAGGATTTACTGTTGTGGTCGATTCGACCATATATAACGGAGTCAAGTTCAATAACACTGGGCTACGAAAAATTTCCATTTACCACACATTAAGTCGATCAGTAGCCGCCAAAAATGAATCGAAAATCAGAAAGAACATCGTCTAACTGTTTCGAGCGGTCCCAGTAAAATGTAAATTGTCGCACGCACGGTAAACCAAACGTCGAGGTCACGCGTGACTCACGAGTGTGCGCGGAATTCCTGGCAAAAAAAGCCACGAGGCCCCGTGGGCCCATCGGCCGCTGGGTATCATCTGAATTTCAGGATTACGAGAATTCGCTCGTTGCCTTTCTTTCTTTTGTTTCATTTTTTTTCGTTACCTGGTCCCCCTGGCTTCTTCCTCATTGCTGTATCATAAAACAGCCGATGATCCCCGCCGCCTGGGCCCTGGCAACGTAACCAGTACCGTAAAACTCGCATAAAATTCACGCAACGCCTCGACTCGAGGGTGGAAGGGCAGGGTCGATTTTGGGAACTGAGACGTTCGTGGACCCGTGGCTTCTTGCCCAGTATCAGAACGCGTTTCGATAATGAGGATTCTGGCTAAAAGGGAATCTTCCGAGTACGTCTACCTCTGCATTCCTTCTGTGAATTTTGGAGGAACAGCGATTCTTTTGGATTTTTTGTCTTGTGCTTCGGTGGCAATACGATTATGATTTTAGGGAAAGTGTGGAAACGGAAAGTTTCTTGAGGAAGACTGTAGAAATTTAATGAGTGGACTGCAAATGGTCTTGACTAATACAGTAAATACTCGATGAGTGCACGAAGACTCCTCGGCACTAAACATGAAATATTTCATAAACTAATGGCTATTTGCGACTGAAACAAATATCATTGGCTTCACAATTCCAAGCTCTATCACCGTACTACACTTAATAAAAGAAATATTGAATTGAAAATGTATAAACCCCCGGCAAGAAGAAATCAGAAATCTTCATTTTCAGATACGTTATAATCATTCAAACGTTTTAGAACAAGAACAATTGGTTTAACCAATTTTGACCAAACATAGCTATTAACCTTCCCAGAAATATACACTTTAAAATAAAAAAAACGACACCAAAATCCGGTAACTCGTTGATGTACTACGGAGCCATACACAAGACACACACACATCGAGGATTTACTTTATATTAATCTGTCATATAACAGGGTGAAAGAGGCTCTTATAACACGATAAAGAAGTTTACATTTTCACATTCTAATTGCAACTAACACACGAAATATATTGAATCTCTTAAAGCGCTCACGCTCGAGTTAACTTGAGCGAATGATTTGGGCAGAAATGTGCACACTCGAGTTATCTCGAGCAGGGTAGTATTTTACATTACCATAACGTACATGCCCTGATAAACACGAGCAATGAAAAATAATCTGAAGAAAGTCATGATTGTATAAAAGAAGAATTATTATTTTGGTATTTGCATAATCATTTTTGTAACTTTCCGCAAGCCTAAAATATCGTGTTTATTCACATACACCTATAGATAAATACTAAGGTCGGGAGAGAAGGTGTTCAAAAGATTGCTTTACTTACGACTGTTATTATTTTTTCAACAATCAGTTTCATTCATTGCGGTACTGATATAGAATAAAGCAAAATTTTTAATTTCTTGTTGTCCTTTTAGAACCATTGTACTTATTATGCCTACATTTTACGTATACATGGTGTCCGATTTAAATCGACCCACACGAATATCTCCGAAACTGCTGACAATATTAAAAAATGTTTTAAAGTAAAGTTAAATGGAATCAGGGAGCACACTTTCTGATGTGTGTAACTTTTTTCTATGTGGACGCATAGAGGTCATATGAAGGGCAACTTTGTTTTTCTAAATGGAATCATATATTTTTTAATGCACTAATTCGCCATATGTAACTTAATACCTTATGTAGGGAATAACGAGTACCATCAAGTAGTGCATTAAAAAATAACGATTCTATTTAAAAAAACAATGTTGACCTTCATACGACCTCTACGCGTCCACATAGAAAAAAGCTACTCACATGAAAAAGTGTGTCTCCTGATACCTTTTAACTTTTGTTTGAAACATTTTTCACTATTGTCAATAGTTCCGGAGATATTCAAGTGGGTGGATTTAAATAGAACATCCTGTGTAACTCGACGAAGTAAAATTAATGTTTTCGATTAAATATTTATTTTTTGTAAGTATTTTACAAAAATATGTTCAAATAAAGATTTTCACGAATAAAAAAAACTGACGTTCCGTGACGATTTAAAAGCATTCGTTAAGGGGATGATCTAATGAGGTATGGAAGACAAGAAGGAACCCCCTACATTAGTCGATACGAATTATTTTAGAAAATCTTATTTTGCCTGAAAATTTGCAGTCTACTCTCGGAGCCCTCACACAGAAGACAACTCCCACCAATGCACCGCCAATTACGTAAGCAACATTGGAGAGGATCACCAAACCCACCCAGCAACGAAATCTACGTATATGGACAGTCGCGACAATACCGTTACAGAATATTGTTAAAAAATCCCCAGTGTCCAACTACGTCCGTCCCATCCGAGACCTTGACATCCTACGCGGTCAAGACCACTAACTTTGCGGGACCGCTTCGTGATGCCTTTTTCACCAGTGACCGCACACGACACTTACACGGGCAACGAATGATCACCCGTCGAACTATGGTCGACGGGTAAGATATTGTGTCTTCGTAAAACCATTAACTTGAAAGATACCCCCGTTTCGGTAGCCGAAACTTTAATTTGGACAATCAAGCCTCTTTAGGACTGTGCAATGTCAATTCGGAATAGGTACTTTTTTTTGGTATACTTAAAAAAAATATTGCATACCATAGCATTTGGAAAAAAGCTTGTAGAAATACATATCTTGTATAACATTGAAAATTAATTTTAATAATTATATACATGTAACTTGCAGAAATCAAAAAGTCAGCAATCTAGTCCCAAACCCCTTGGATACATTTGACGACTGAGACTCGCCATGCACTTGTGTTGCTTAAGTACAAGATAACAAGTCTAACTCGTCATTCGAGTTGGGATAATATTTAACATGTGCATTCTTGTTCATTTCAAAGTAGTTTGTATCAATTGTAAAAAAAAAAAGTTAAATTTGTTCCATATGCTAAATTTTTGTCAAATAAATCGGTACCCAAGGGCTATTGTTTATCAAATTTTTGTCTACCCAATACCTACAGTTTAATTTTTACCAATACAGTAAGTACCATCGAGTAGGAGTTGGCAAGGGCTAAATACCGTGTAACTTTAACAAAAGTATTATTAGCAGAATGTTTAAATATCAATACAGAAATGGCGTTTACAGTCTAAGAGTCAGCGCGCTTCTAGATATATTCAGAGTCCTTTACAGTGATACTGGTAGCCTTGGCTATTGGTACATCAGCCAAAATACTAGTACATCTGGTAGCCCTTGGCGCGCTTACACGAACAGGCGATCCTATTAAACGCTCAATTTCACGACGTTACAATATCTTGCCCGTCCACTATACACGGACCTGACCGGTCATTCTAAAACTCCTCCAATAAGCGTTGAACCGTGAATCGCACCGAATCACGCGCGCACAGCGGCGTCCTTGCCGTGGCTCCTTCGACCCCCGGTTGACGAGTGTCCGCAATGTGGAGAGGGGAATCCCGAATGGCAACAGGAGGTGGTGCAGAACCGTGCACTTCCTGAGCAAGCGAAACCACGGCGTAGAATCCTGCGGCCCGTGTAATTGGGGTCCTGGCGAAGAAGCTACTCCCTACGGGGCCCAAGAAATGGTGGGGGGCGCCCTATGTAAGCCCTCCGGCCGTCCAGGTCCAGGCCATCCAGCATCAGGACATCGTGCACAAGGATTCAGAGACACTGGTGGTGCCCACACGGCGATCGTTTCGAGAGTTCAACGAGTTTAGGGGCAAAAACGAGGGGTATAAGCTAAGACGTACCATCCGACATTAGGACATTGTGCAAGGATTCCAGAAAGGTGGTGGTGCCCACACGGTGATCGTCTCGAGAGTTCAACGAGTTTAGAAGCAAGGGGTACACGTACCTTGGAATATCATTTATCCCACGGGCGTAGATCACGATGAGGTTCATCTTGATATTCCTGACCCTCGTGCTCGGCCTCTGCGACGCTGGAAGACGACCCACCACGGCGGCGACGGTTGCTAACCATCAGGAGAGGCAGCTTCGACGACGTGGCCAACGACAAGGTTAGACTTTGAATTTTTTCCAACTGAACGACAATGATCTGGAATCAAAATTTGGCAGCTGAAATGGTCAGAAAGAAATTTCTTTTGTTTTTCAATAATGTCGCGTCAATCTTTTTTTAACGGCTCAATTTATTCGCTAACTGCATACGTCCACTGCAGTGGACACTGATTTTACCACTTTAGTGACAATATATGGAACATTTCTTGACGATCGACAGTACGAAAGTTCTTCAAATGACATCTGAACATTAGGAAAAAAGTGTACTGTGACTATAAAAAAAAATTTGCTTATAAAAAAATATGATTAAAAATGTTTTAAATAGTTTTAAAATGAGTATTTGTTCTTGATTTTATGAAAAAAGATTGTACAGGATACCAAAAAAATCTAGTGAGCGGGTTAATAGTCTTAGCGAGTTCGAAATAAGATAAAGTGTGTGAAATTTAGTGGTTCTCTGATTTCTTCGGAAAATTTGTGTAAATCATGGGGTATATAAAAAAGTCTACTGGTAAATTGGTAGAAAAATAGTAGTGATTTTCTAAGATGTGGTATGTATACTAAATACTTTTTAGTAACTTCTGCGACGAAAAAACTTTCAGTGACTTTTCCAAACGCACGTAGTACCTTTTTGAATTTGTTAATCGACAATTGTATCGTGCACAATCTCTTCCTAAACTCATGTTATTATACACGTTCAAATGCTGCCCTGATTTTAAATGAATAAACAGACGATTCTCAGTTTATATTCATTTTTGAACTGAAAATAAAGTTCAACGACTTCTATTTTTCTATTCGTTTTCATTAACTTTTTTGTTCTTGGTTTAAATATTTCTTAACTTACATTTCTCCAGAAATTAAACTAATTTATCGTAAATAGTTATACATGAATGATTCGACACTGTTTATATTGGTCCTCTCAGAAATAGAGTCAAAAATCAAATTTCTCCTATATGTTGGAAATAACTATTTTCACTGTCCAAAATTACCTTTTTTTTTTAAATAAAGTGAATCTCTTTAAATTGTTAATTTCACGTTTTGTGCATTCTGAATGCTTCAGATACCTTAAATAGTTCACGACTTCAGAATTAATTGAACATAATTCATCAAAAATTCAAACTCAAAGTTTCAATTTCAAATGGAACGACAATTCAGAAATACTTTTTCTATTAGAAACAAAAACTTCACGAAACAATTCGACAGATTCAAATAGAAAGACGTTGTTTCAAATGTCCATACCCAATTTCTCCACAACTGTTTCTGTCAATTTTCCTTGACAGAGCTACTTCAGATACCTTAAATATTTCACAACTTCCGAAATAATAGAACGTAATTTACAAAAATTCTAATAATATCAAATTGAACGAAAATTCAGAAATAATTTTTCTATTAGAAACAAAACCTCACGAAATAATTAAGCAGATTCAAATAGAAAGACGTTGTTTCAAATGTCCTCATCCAATTTCTCTACAACTGTTTCTGCGATTTTTCCTTGACAGAGAATGCGTGGGACCTGATAGAGCTGCAGAAACTGGACAACCCGGAGTTTTGGAACAAGAATCCGACTTCGCCTCCGAACATCACGGAATCGGGCGATTCGATAGTGTTTAGCGGAAGACAGAACTATCCGACCGTTCCGACCCCAGAAGTCTCAAATGAGCTACCAGGACCCATAGTAACCGTGGAACCGATTCCGCCACCAGGATGTTGGGCTCTACGTGGACAGTTCCCCAGTTCGAAGAGTTGTGCCAATTATTTGAATTGCTGGGACGGTGTTGTCATCGAGCAAACTTGTCCTGACGGTTTACTGTTCAACGCGGTCAGTCTGGTCTGCGACTACGATTACAACGTGAACTGCGGTGACCGGCCACTGCCAACGCCAAGTAAGCATCTGTGCCTTTTTGTTTGTCTAATGAAGCAATATAACCTTGAGACTGAATAATAGTTGTCGCCATTTAATATACACGGTGGTAATAAAAATGTGGGACATACAGGATGAGTCAATGAGAACTACTATCTAAACTTTTTAAAACTACTACCTACAGTACCGGACAAAAGAATTCGTACACCTTTTAAAACAGAACAACTTTTTTAACATTGATCCAAACGACTTGAGTATTTTTGTGAAGTTAGGGATATTAGTTTACTAAATGACGTGTAAAAAAAATTGAAAAAGTTGCAATTGGTCGGAATCGCGGAGGAAATAGCGAAGGTCGATTTTTACAACTTTTTCGTCTGAGGCTATAATGAAAATTTAATAAATATATATCGAAGATTTATGGTAGTTATATACATGTTGAAAATTTCATAAAAATCGGTTAACGTTGCTACGAGATACAAACGATTAAAAATGTTGAAAATCACAGTTTTTCCCGATTTTCGACCTATAACTGTAGTAAATCTAACAATTCTTACATCTTTTGATGCCTGTCGCTCGTTTCTGTATCAACCGATTTCAATGAAAGTTTCAGTACGTATATAACTAACATAAATCTTCGACATGTATTTATTAAATTTTCATTATAGCCTCAGATGAAAAAGTTGTAGAAAACGACCTTTACTATTTTCTTTGCGATTCTAAACAATTGCAACTTTTTCAATTTCTTTTATACATCATTTAGTAAACTAATGTCCGTAATTTCACAAAAGAACTCAAGTCATTTGGACCAATTTTAAAAAAGTTATTCCGTTTTAAAGGGTGTACGAATACTTTTGTCCGATACTGTAAATTATTGCCTATTAGTTGTATCAAAAAACATTTTAATGAATTATATAGCATTTTAAAGGACGTATCGGATGGATACAGTTTGATTTTTTTATATCTCTTTTTTAGATATTAAGGTGACCTTGAAATTTGTCAAGGTCAATGCATCTTTTTTTTTAATACCATTATTGTATAGGTCGTTAAATTCGTCTTTCGGCTGACAATAATGTGGTATTAAACAAAAGATGCATTGACCTTGAAAAAACTAAGGGTCACCTGGATATCTAAACAAAAGGTCAGATAAAAATTCAAATTGTGTCGATGCATTCCTGAATGTGCTACATAATTCATTAAACCTTTTTCTGGTACAATCAATAGGTAACAAGTTATTTCAGATAGCAATTCTGATTGACTCACCCTGTATATTTCACATATGTTGAACTAACAAGGGACGTCACTCAAGTGTAACACTCCGATTGTAATGCCGCTTGATACACAGACAGTATCCTGACAAATATGTTTTTGTAGCTGCTGATATTCACATCTAGGGAGTGAAAACAGCCCTCAAAGTCATGGGTGAAAAATACATTTTCCTTAATATCTCGTGAACTATTCGACTTCGAAAAGACATTTGTTAAGAAAAATTGTGTGTTTCTTAATAATAAAAATAACGACTTAAGTAGTTTTTCAAAATACCAATTTGTTTAAACAATAATTTTTTATTTTTTAGCATTTCGAAAAACTACTTAAGCAGTTATTTTTATTAGTACCAAACACAGAATTTCTGTTGACGAATACCTTTTCCAAGTCGAATATTTTGCGAGATATTAAGGAAAATGTACTTTTGATCCATGACTTCGAGGGCTGTTTTCACCCTCTAGATATAAATGGTGGCAGCTACAAAAAAATACGTGTAAAATATTTTTCAAAATATCTCTGTATCAAATGGCATAAAAATCGACATGTTACATTTGGGTATTGTCCCTTGTAAGAAAATCAATCTGTAATAGGACCAAGGTTTATCCCGGCAAATTTACAACGCTATCGCTTGTCCCGATGGTTTCTTTTAAATCAGTGATATCTTTTTGAAAAATCGAATGATTTGTTTTGTAAAATAGCTACATAAATGAAGTACTTTGCATACATACTATTGTAGTTTCGTCTGATTTCGAACGCTTGACGTATATTTTGAGCTGCTTATAAAAAAGCATACCGCGATTTGTGTGTATTTAATTCATTTTCTATTAAGTCTAAACTACGAGTAAATTCTATAATGCAAACAACCTTAAGGCTGAAAAATGGAAAATTTTGAAAATTTCATTTGAAGTTTAATTGTGTTAACCGTATTTATTTAAATAAATGAAATTAACCGTTCATTTTGAAATATTACTTATTTCAAGGAAACTTGTAAACAATATAATTTTTCATGTAAATAATGTAATTACCAAATTATAGCAACTCAATTGTTATTAACAGACTGCGGAAATTTCTGCGAATTGACTAATATACGTATGTATAATACCTAATTGAAAGTGGACAGAACATTAACTATTCTACTAGGGACTTCACTACGGTAATAATAATACATATAGTACTATTGAAAATTTTGAAGCATAAATTCTTTTGTTATTCACAACAATATACGTAAAATTTTCTCCTTTTTTGCATGTCTTTGATAAAACTCATATCAAATGCGGTCATTTTATTTTTTCAACTTCATTATATGTATATCGCACAATAGACGTTGAAGTAACATTAAAAAATATGTTTGAAATTTTTATTTCGGACTACTCTACATCGAAATATTGTGGGTACCGTTTGGACAGTGCAATTTTGAATTCAACACGATTGCCGCCACCTACAATTTACCAGGCTACACGAATATTGAAACAAAATTTTTTATTAATTACTTGAATGTATAATACATGAAAGGTCAGAAAGTCTTTTTTATCATATCTTCTTTGCATTCTTAAAATGAACCCTAAATATCTTGTTTAAGGGGGAAAGGAGCCTTAATTGTAAAATGTTTGATATAAATTGCTAATCGGTTTGATATAAATTGCTAAAAGGCAAACGGAAGTTATTCATGACTCAAGCAAATATATTTTTGTGCAGAACCACCGCTGCCAAACGGCTCGACATTATGCCCGGACCCGAACGGCCGTTACAGAAGTGCGACGAACTGCTCGGAATTCTACGTGTGCGTCTTCGGAAAGCCCATCAAGTTCAGCTGCCCTCGTGGACTGGTCTACAATGACGTAAGAATCTCATTCTGAAATCGTTCCGAGGAAGCATTCGTGGAATTTTAATTTGCGAAATCCACTGCCCCTGAGAATCTCTTCAAGACTCCCTCTCACGTCTCTACGGTCAAAGGCCGCGTCCACGACTTCCGTGTTGTTTCTTCAAGTCAAATTTGACATTAACGCTGCTTACATCTGCATCTAGTGAAACACGTCATTTTACGTGATGGTTGAAACATTTTGTAACGATCTACTTGAAAATTACATACAGGGTGGTCCACCTAATGCTGCCACCTAAATTACTTGTGAACTGCCCAGATAGCACATGACTCCCAATGACGACTTAAATACGGCTTATAGGTGCCTTACAAAGGAAGGCACGGAAGTGTCCCCCTCCGATTTTAATGAAACTTCGTATGTCTGTTAAGCACTCAAAAATAAGGGATACGCATTTTTTTTATCGACTGAGACGCGACTTTAAGGGGTGAAACCGTCCCTCGAAGTTTCGATCCGAAATTTTTTTGGTACAAACAAATTATATTTTGAACAATTTGTTAGCACCATATTACTCTACATAAAAAACCACAAACCTCGTCCATTAGAAGTTTTCATGTATCTCCTCTGGTTTTCGAGGTAGTACTTTCGGGTCGACTGTTCGAGGGGTGGTTTCACCCCTTAAAGTGGCGTCTCAGCTGATGAAAGAAATACGTATCCCTTATTTTTTACTGCTTAACAGATATACGAAGTTTCATCAAAATCGGAGGGGGACATTTCCGCGTCTTCCCTTGTTAGGCCTAAAATAGCTGTAAAGTGGGCGTCTTCAAGGCGTCATGTGCTATCTGGGTATTTGTTGTATGAAAAAATGTTTCGGACAAAAGTTGTGTGGTATCAAGAGTATAATAATTGTTTCATTGCTATTTTGATTTTTTATTGAGATATGAAGGCCATTTTAAGTTTTTTTATTGTAATGTAAACATATTTGATCGTGCCATTGGAAAGAATGCTGAATAGGGTGACTCTTAATAGTCTTTATAGTCCTTTAACGTTCGACGTACAAAAAAAAAACACATTTTCTTAGTCTTTAGTGATGATCAGGTCATAATTCAATTTTCAAAATTAAAAAATTTTTTCTAGATATTTTCTTTATTTTCTTCGAAACCGGTGGGGCGCACGGAAGGAAGTATATAATATAAAACATGCTCTTTATTTAAATCTACAATTTTTGCTTGGCATGTTTTTTGATATAAACAATAACTGAGAGGAAAATCGAATAAAATCGACTTTGTATGTAAGTAATTATTTGAATGTTTAATGGCCCGGGGCCACCCTTTCTTCTTATGCAATCGGGCGTAAACGTCACACAGATTATCTTCTTAATTGGAAGTATTCTGTAGGATACCGCGAAAAAAATATTTAAAAAATTCCTATCAAGAGTAAATAAGAGCCACCCTAGTATTGAAAGCTGCGTAAAAAACTATTGGAGCATATAGGGCTAAAACTTAATAATTACTAAAATATTCTTCAGTGAACTGTGAAAAACTTTCGTAACTGTAAAATGCGTATACTTCGGTCAAGATATCTGAATTTGACGCCACTTGTCTACTTTCTTTGGGACATGTAAAAAACGAAGTTAATCGTGTATTACCAATGAGACCCAATGATTGCCCATAAATGCCCCATTAGAACATGTAATTCTATAACTCAAAAAACACTTGGGCATGTGTCATTTGCATTTATTGAACGACTACGAACTTGTATTGATTCATGGACTGTAATGAGTAATGACCAACATTTTGAGCATTACTTACAGAAATACCTCAGTAATGGATACATGACGGTAATTCATTTGATTATAAACCTACTCATTTGTTTTCAACGCAAAAAAATTAAAAATGGCAAAAAATCTACATCCAGTGCGCAATACAATAAGTGCTTCTATTATTAAATAAAAACATTCAATGCAAAGACTCTTTTCTGCTCGATTATCGAATAAAAATTGAATCGCTGTTCCTTAGCAAAAACAGCTAAAACACGAAGACAGACGAATTTCTTACTTTAGAATTTTTTCATTGCTTATGCTGCACTTTGTTTAGCCTCGAGCTGGTGCAACACTCGCGTAAATGTTGAAATAATTTAGTATTATTTTATAATAGTAACATTTATAATAGTAAGGAAAATATGAAATGAGTAGAAATTGAAATATTTACCTGAATCCATAACTTATTCTTTTCCCTAGGTACTGAACGTCTGCGACTACCCGTACAACGTCGACTGCAAGGGTGCAGCAACGCCTAAGCCAACACCTCCTCCACAAACAGTATCCCCAATCACATTGCCAGCAACTCAAGCACCAACGTACGCGCCGCCGTCCCCATCCTATCCCTCGAATCCGCCATCTTACTCCATTCCTTGGTTAGGCAGCAAACTCAGTCCTGATCCCTGGCATCAAAGAACCGCGATCACGCAATCAGAAATTGAGAAACAAGAGGACGAACAGGTGGAACTTCAGCAACCCGAACAGCAATCTCAGTCGCAGTCAGAGACGCCCAAAAACCCTTGGAATCTGATACAGAATATTCCGGCGAGTCTGGTGTCCGTGCCCTGCGAAAATGGAGACGTCCACAGGTTGAACGACTCGTGCACGAACGTCGTGGTTTGCAGAAACGGTCGGCCGCAGTTGGTCCAGTGCACAACGGGACTAGCGTACGACAGATCGTCGGACTCTTGTACACTAATCTCCGTTGCCAAATGGTAGGTATTTCTGACCAGAGTTGGGCAGAATTTTATTAGAATAATACAGGGGCCTCGCGATTATTGACTCTTTGTTGATATGCGATTATTGTCCAGGCGTCATCCCCACCACTGGAGGGGCGGTGGGGGGGG